AGTAGCAAGCCCTAGAAGAGCCTGGTCGAGGTCATCGATGGACCAGTCCAGCCGACGCCACAAACGAATGAAGCGGTGAATGCGATCGCAGTCGTCAATTCGCAACGCCTCGCCGCTCAGGCGAATGAGCCGTACGTTTTCGATGTTGCAAGTGTCCTGGACTGGGCCCCAAGATGCAGCCCGCTCCCAGTTCCAGACATACACATTGCTACTTTGATTTTCGATCTCGCCAAAAGCCCTAGTTCGCTCAATATTCCACAGCTGCATGCGCAACTGCCAGTCGAGTCCGTACTTGATGTGGAAGAACACGCCTTCTACATCGACAGCTGCACCGGCCTCGTCGATGCGCCCAACCAGAGTCAGGGTGCCGTCAACAGCCGTAGAGGTGATGCGGCCGTCGCGATGGAGGTATCCGATATTCCTGTCCACATCGTCATCCCGGCCGCTGACTACCTCTGCTGCTGAGCCAACAAACCCAAGCTGCGGGACCTCACGCTGCAGCACTAGCCAACCTTCCGTCTCGAACACACCGCCGTCCCTGGAATCCAGTACGACGAGGTTGCCCACAAGATCGAAGTATCGCAGTACCCAGCATCGCCAGATGGCTCCGTCGTCACAAGAACACGGAGGATATCCGCGACTGTTGGCCAGCTCTTCGAGTGCCTCCGCATTCTTGCCCTGGTCCGCACGGCCGAGATCGTCGATGTACTTTTGGCGAAGTTTGCCGAAGAGCTCAGCGAGCGGCTGGAACCTGACGAGGAAGGCGATCAACTTGTCGTAGCATCCAGTGGTGCCTATGGGCCCGAGAAGCGTGACGAGGTAGCGGTAACTCCATCGGAGGCGCTGGAGCAGGAGTAGGGCCCAGCCGGACGGGTAGTTTGGGTTAATGTATCTTGTACGGAGGAGATCGACCAGATCTGTATACATGATCCCTGATCGCGGCAGGAACTGCTTCTTCACGAAAGCAAGGCCAAGCTCGTGGTCCTCGACGGTCGACAGCATTTCGTGGTCTCCATTGACATAGCCCCAGCACCGATAAACCGGTTCAACCTGAATGCGTGCCTCGTACTCTTCGTCGCTGATGCGTGTGTCTGGCGAGATTATGTATTCAAAGTACTCCTTCGGATAAAACACCTGGCGAGTCAGGACTCGGAAATCCTGCTGCGACAGAAGGAGATACTCGGCCACGTATGCCCGCTCGTGGGCTTGTCTCCCCCATTCGTCACGTCTCTGGTCACCGGTGTGTTGCGTCGGCCGAAAAACATCGAGCAACTCGTGCCTTGACGTACCAAGGTGACCCAGAAGGATTCGGATCTCGTCCAGCGGCTGATGATACGGCAGCGTGAAGGGATACACGGCGTCCTTGAGCTTACAGTACGCAGCATAATTGACGTTGGCCGGCTGGGATAAGAGGGCGCTGCTGATATCGTCTCCGTCAATGTTAAAGGCATCAAGCGTCACTTGCTTTGGCTGGTGGTTGTCTTCAATGAACTTGCCGAGATGGCAGACAAAAGATTCCATAACTTCGTTGCTGAGGTCGATGTAGGGCAGTACCGTGTTGGTGTTGGCGCACGTCAATTCGATTTCGGCAAGATCAGGCCGACGGCGAAAGAGCATCTCGAGGGCGGTACCCTCCCAGCCGGGACGGTAGTCATCTTTCAGGTTGTTGTTCCGGAGAAACTGCAGAATGTCGACCAAGTATGCTGCAGGTGATGTGACCGAGGCGCAGTCTGAGCATTCGCAAAAGTCCATGCTACCGAAAAGCTGCTCGAGATTGACAGTGCTGCGCATGCCGCTGACGGTGACGGAGTTGGCAGCAGCCATGCGGTCCCCGCGAGATGCAGCCCCGTCGATGGCGCGGATACCCGTTCCGCGCACCATCTGAAGCGTCGACGCGAGTGCCATGTTGGCGTGAAGAGCTACATTTGTCGCCTGTGCGTGGATACTGCGGGCCGCCTCTTCAGCGCTGCCTTGAGCTGTGTCGTCCGCAGTGATGACGCTGCCAATGTCATGAACAAAGTGAGAAGCCGGCACTGCAGCAATCTGCTGGGCGGACCCAAAACCAGCCTTCAGCATAGCTGCCACAGCCGCCGGGGCCGTTGACAGTGATTGAACACGCTGAATGGCTCGAATGGTGGTGTCTACCTTCTGCCGCGTCCCATTCTCCTCGCTGATGTCTTTCAATGCACCCTCGGGGAGAGAGAAAGGAACGTTACTAAACAGGTCGGGATGGGTGTGCAGGACATCGATGATGAGACTCTTGACATTGGCGTCTTCTTCTTTGTTGCCATCATTTCTCAGCCCAATGGGAATCTCCTCGTCATCCACCATCTTGAGCAGGACGGCATCGCGTTCCAACACGAACATTCTCTGCCTAAAGATACGCGCCGCTGGCTTGATGGCAGAAACATCCTGGGGAGCCTCTGACGTGCTGACGGTTGCAACTCCTAGTTCTCGGTCAACAAGGGCAGAGAGCTCGGCGGCATTGAAGCGTGCGGCAACCTGGCGCAGGCTTGAAAGAGAAGAATCAGCGGCCAGAGCAGCCACGATGGCCTCATCACCTCGTGCGCACTCTGCAAACCCGCGGATGAGCGTGATTCTTGAGGCGATGGTCTCATCGTCGACCTTGGCTGCCGCAACATCAAGGTCGGCCGACTTGAGGATATGTTCCTCCAGCTTTGTCCTCTCGCCATCGCCGAGACATGACAAGACGAGGGTGTCACGGCTGCTCAGCTGGGGGGGGTTTTGCTGGATTCCAGTCTGCTGGGCCATGGTTCGCGGTAGTCGGGGTGCTGATCAAGACTTTCCCCGGTAGCATGGCTCGCTTAGCTGAAGATTCGGGGAAGGAAGGCACAAATAACCTGGGAGAGTTTCGTCAGGAGTATAGAAGCATTATGCCATACTAATACTACTAGGTGTCATGTCAGTCGGGGGGGTTGGCAGCTGCTGTCAGTGTCAAGTCAGTGAGCAGTCCCAAGTGACGATGGAACCTGGGTACCACGGTCCGTGCCGCCATATCGGACGTCCTATCACATCACAACAACCGGGCTTGGGTAAGGTCGTTGTCTGCTCTCCTTCACTGTACACGGTTACGTGAAGTGAGAAAGCTTATGATGGTCCGCAAGTACCTGTTACAACCTCCAGATTCAAAGCCTGCTGTCGTGCGCCGTGGCTCACGGAAGCTGGGCGAAGGCGTCGGCCTGAATGGATTTCATTGGTCGATTCGATACTGCGGCTGACCTGGCTGAGCATCCATTAACGCCGAAGGCAGCGGTGATTTGATCCGTATGGTTGCCTCCTTGGATCTCTGTAGCTTCTGATCATAAGCATGACGCCTCCAAAGGCTCATTGTACAGTGCTAGAGAGGCATGGCGGTCTTGGCGTGCTGGTACAGTTCGCCCTGACTGCGCACCACGAGACGGAGCCTATGCATGAGGAACGTCTTCAACGGTGAGATTTGTGCACATAGGGCTGAATTATGCTTTCTGGGCCCTGAAGCTGGATTGCTCTGCTTTAAAGCAGCGAGACTCTGATTGCACCATGGGTTGGTCGACTCTGGTTATGACGCCCGATGTCTAGACTGTCGCTGCCAAATGCACGAGGACCACAGTGCCTTGGGCTTGATCTGGCGCCAGCGTTTGCTGCGAGATATCTGGGCTGGGACCAGATCAAACTGACACTGAAGTAGGGCACTTTGGCTGGCTCACGCGCGTGATGGGAGGACCGAGTTTTGACGCGTCGAACATCCACGGCGGTGGTCACGAAGGCGTTCGAGGGCAAATTCGAGGAGATCTGTCATTCTGCATCCTTTCTGGGTCAAGAGAGTGCGTGCTTGCCCGCTTGGTTAGCCTCATTTGGTGAAGGACGACGCGTGCTGACGCATAAGGGTGGGCTGTATGCATCAGCTGGCGATCCCCTCTTGTTGCTGCATCATGCCGGTATCAACAACTTCTGTGGTAGTTGTGGCAGGCGATGGACCTTGGAAAGCGACTCGAGGTTCTCGATGGCTGTCAATGATTCCGTTGGAAGGCGGAGGCTGTGTTTATTGGTGGAGGCTGGCGACGGAAGACGCGACGAGTGGAAAGGCGCTATAGGGATGCCTCGTCAGGGATCGTGTGCCCACTACGCGTCGTAAGGCACTTTCCCAGGACGCTTACCTAAGTCGCCTCTTCCTTCCCGCAAGGCCTACTCGGGCTCAGTCATCGAGTCCAACTCGATTGTCTTTGCGCCGAAATGCCAAATCGCACTGCAGACAGTTCATGATCGGCATTGCAAGAAGCAGGCGAGATCAATGAAATGCAAAAAAAAGAAGAATGAGTCCTCAGTGTCATGATCCACTCACGGCCCGGATGACTCCCTGGCTGGGCTGCTGAAAAAAAGAGGCCAAATCGAAGCGGGGCAGGCCGTTGCGAACGCCTCGTCGAGAGACCTTTTGGCAGTACCTGTTTTCAGTGCAACTGCAGGTATCGATTTTGGCCTCACCTTAGCGCAGGCTGTGCCGCTCCTACGGGCGCTTCTGACTGGCCCTCCACAGCTTCGCCGCATCCCCAGACTCCACCTCGAAGACAGAGGCATCCAATTGTAAGGCAGCCAATCACGGCCATCTGCACCTGTCGTCGTGATCATTTTAGAGCCAGGCACCCGCCCTCAACTCGCTCATTGAATCTCGAAACCTCAACTCTTCTACTCTCGTCACCTTCATCCTCTCAACTCCGCCCCCCTCATCTCACATTCAAGTCGTCAAGACATTCTGGATACACAGAGCACCGATCGATCACTCGACCCGAGCCCCAGTCATCTTTCTAGATCAATTCGTCGGAACTGCTCAATCCTCCATGACTGTGCATCATTGACACAACTACTGCTCCACCAACCCAGCCCACGCGTCTTGCATTGTTCGCATCGTAAGCCACCTTCCGGCAGTGACTACTATCGTGCAGCTTCTCACACTTACATCGCAGGCATACAATCAATTCCCAGGCCTCTTTCCTGACGCATCGATGGAAATTCGTCACAATGGATATCAGGACTTGCTCGAATCTATCGAGCAATCTCACGCCTCCTTTATGGATAGGCTCCGACACGTCCACGGCCATCTCGCCGAGCGGACCGTGACCCCCGGCCAGACTGCGACACTAGGAGCTTTTGACCTCCCTGTGCCGAATCTCGCTCTCTGGTCGACCTGCGGTGGATTCCATGGGATGAATCCAATCCAGTCGGCACCGACTGTCACTCCCGCTGCAGTCCAGCAGTTCCAGAGACAAAAGGCCAAGCGCCGACCTCAGGAGACAGACTCGGAGCGTCAATCGCCCCTCGAGCCCCTCCCATGTCACTCCTCTCCATGTCGCGAGGAGCGACGTGTCTCTGACCTGGCAAACCGTCCACAATTCGTGTTCGCTATCCTGACCTTGATGCAGAATCTGGTATGTTACGGCTGAGATTCAGCAAAGCAACCCAGAATTCTAACTGACCCCTTCCAGCAGCAGCAGAAGCAGCAGCAGAAGCAGCAGCAGCAGATTCATGCTCAACGGAGAAGCCATGCGCTGGGAAGCGAAGCGTTGGAACGATTCCATCAGCTTCGTCAACAGTGGACAGAACATGCGCTCATTACATGCCTCGGCACGAGCAACCTCGTTCTTGATCCTGTCGAGCTCATTGGCTCCGCCAAAGGAGAGCGCAAGCCCTATACTGATATGCAGAATTTCCAGCAGTCTCAGGATGTCCTCGAGAATCACGACATCATGTTACCGCACAACGAGACGGACGACGGCGCCTTCGATACATCGACAGGCACCATGACTGGCGAGCATATCAGTCAGATTCAACCTGATGATACAAAGCCCGTCTCGACCCGAGATAACGAGTCCGATGTTTTCTCTGGGCCCGAATCGATCGAGCGCTTGCGCCTCAATCAACAATCCGGCAATCTCTTGCCACTGCCCCTGGTTGTTGCCATGGCCGATATAGTCGCCACCTACGCCGGCTATTGCTCCATGACTGCCAACGTCGTCTCGATATTGGCTGTCATGAACGGCAAGGACAATTGCTTCTCGAAGCAAATGAACTTGGCAGAGTACGATTGTGGGAAGACAGCCAGCTGGCGGTTGATCCCCACGACGCTGCCTCTCTTTGGCTGACGAGCTGTTGCGACTCTTTCTGGTGTTTGACTGTTGGTTGGCAAGTGACCTGAGTACGTCGTAAAACTTCTCGTCTGGACATCTAAACTAGGTGTCTTGAGCCTCGCTACCACAACCAAACCAACGCCATCAAACCAAACGAATCACACAGCAATCAGCACAGAGACGGAACGTCAGAGCAGCAAACACTACTCTGATTTTCAAGCAACAACCACACTATGGCTTTCGCATCTCCCAGCGGAAGCAGCAACAACTACTTTTACGAGGTGGACGACAATACCGCCACCATGGACGGACACGGCGCATGGGCGGCGTCAGGCGCAGGCCTGCCCGTCCATGACTTCCTTCATGGCATGTCCGCTTTCGAGTCCCCACTCTCTGAGATCCTGGAGGGCGACTTCAGCGACGACATGGAGTTTGACGCTTTCATCGAAAAGGAGCTGGCCAAGGGCTACGGACTAGAGGTGTTTCCCTCAAACGGCAACACGGGCGACCCGTGTGCTTTCGACTTCAACACACCCGTCGTTCCTACCCCTGACTTCAACGACCCCCTCCTCTTCCCGATCGTCGACGACAGCCAGGCCCTCGGCTACTCGTCCTTTGATTTTGATCTCCCCGCCGCCGAGTCCTTCTTCGCCCCTCTCAGCATTGGCGATGCATCACCGTACACGAACTCACCCTCCACCCACACCACCAACTCGGCTTCTCCCTTTACGACGTCGCCCGACTCTACCACCGAGTCGGACACTTCCGGTCACGCGTACGCCTGCACGGCCGACAGCTGCTTCAAGACATTCAAGAAAGAAAGTCAACTCAAGTATGTCACCCCATCTCTCCTCTTCACATGCCATCCCTGTACACCAGCTCCCCCTCTCGTGCGAATCCCGCTGACCGTTCGTCCCAGGCAGCACCAGCGCGTCCACAAGAAGTCTCTCACCTGCCCGCACTGCCCGAGCGCGCCCAAGTTCGCCCAGGTGCGCGACCTCGAGCGCCACCTGCAGGTCCGCCACAAGGACGTCGCCACCCGCGACAACGTCCGCTCCGAGACGCGCCAGTGTCCCTTCGAGGGCTGCGCGCACCGCGGCCGGCGCGACAACGTGTCGAGGCATTTCGAGAGCAAGCACGGCGGGAAGCTGATGTGGAGGAAGGGGGTGCCGACGGTTCTAACCGTCTAGGGTTTTTTTTCTTGGTCCTTGTCATGGGAACAGAAGCGAGGCGTTTTCTACTTGATTTTCCTGTTTGCTTTTTTTTGTAACGATGTACGGTCTAGAGCAAGAACAATAGACTCGTCACTGCAGATTCGTCCCAAAATGTGTGATGTTCCAGGTGGAATCCTTCGAGGTGGAAGCCTCCTTTCATGCTCACGCGAAGAAACTTTGTACGCCAGAGCCGCTGTTGGCCGAAACAGTCTCTATTGTCTGGTAGGCAGACTGGCAGATCAACAAGAAGTGGCACTAGCTCACAAGCGGCTGGAGGTGCATGCACCCAGTCTCACAGTAAGGGGGTCAGCAGACCGAATCCTCGGACAGACCAGCGCAGCCATGCACGACGCTCATCCCATCATCGCAGACGGAATCCAATCCATCCATCAAGCCCCTTCCCTCTCTGTACGATAGCCAACCCGAGTCCATCCAGGTTGCGCGCTGCACGCACACGCAACTCTTCACCATCCCGCATCCGCGCTTCGGCTGAACCCCCCCCTTTCAGCGGAACTCGGCCCCACAGCACCGGGCCAACGCCGTGTCTCGCTCGCCAACCACCGCAGCCCGCCACAGCGCCCCCCTCCCCCTCCCCCCCTCCATGGCACGCGGTGCGTGCGCGTGCATGCAATGCCACCCCCAGCGGCCGGCCGGCGGGCCACGACAAATGCTGCCTGCGGCCCGCCGCCTCGGATCAGTCACTGCTCCTCCGATGCTGGCCCCTTTTCTCTCCCTTCTGCCCCCCACCCCCCATCGGGTCGGGGGCGGCGACTCGGTCTGAAAAACTTTGATTGCAATTTGCAATTTGTGACGGGCGAGTCGGGGGGTTTTACGCCACACTTCTCTTCGCGAATGGCTTGGTCGGACGACAGTTGGGTTGCACACACTATGGACGTGGCATGAGATTGCGAGGGTCACTTTCTCGTATCAGGCAGACGGGCAGGGAGACGATTTGGAATCACTTGATGAGTTTAAAGCGTAAAAAACTCGAAAACCACAGTGTTATTGTCTGATTGCATGTATATAGTGTCAAAACAACAATTTATCAATGCAGGCATGCGAGGCTGGCTCGGTATCGCATCGGTTCCTCCCCTTTGGAGCATGCGGCGAGGTGACTTTGGTCCACCTCAGACATGACATCTTTTCCCGTCGGTGTTGATTGTGAGCCTCTCGGATTACTGGCAGAAGCTTTGGCAGGGAAAAGTCGAATTTTGTCGAAGGAGGCCGATGGTGTCAGAGCGTCGTGGCCATGATTGCTTAGTGCTGGGAGCTGTTAGAGTAAGCAAAAGCATGGAGGCAGTCAGAAACATACGTCGCACGAGCTGCAGGCGCACGACGAGCAAGAGCCGGCGCAGTTGGTGGCGCAAGAGGAGCAAGAGCTGGTCACTGTCAGTCCGAGAGCACCGATTTGCGGGCTGCTCAGCGACAACTCACCAGGGAGCCATTGTGATTGTTGGGGTTCGAAGAACTGAAAAAAGCTTGGTGAGTGTTGTGTTTGTTGTGCTGGAGTGTCTGGTGCTGATGAGATGAACATCCCAAAACAGGACCACGTTCGGCGCCCCTTTTATACCTGAAGGATGCTCAAGATGACCCCCATGCGACTGGGCCCGAGTTCATCAGGCAGGAGTACAATGACACGGAGCAAGATGTGATGAGCGTTGGAGCTTCACGACCACACGCGTGTCGCCCGCAACAGACATCCGCAATCTCAGAAGCTATCGATAAGTGACGGCTCATGATTCGACAACCTCGTGAGGTCTCGAGCGGGGTTGGCGGCGTCTCCCCTTGGAGTGGAAGTACATGCAGGGCACCCATATCGGGACAGCACCTTAGGGGGGGACCAAGACCCGTGATTGGCGCCGAGACATGGAAGGCCAACCATGTGAGCAGGCTTGGCCACACGGCAGCCCACGCGAAACATGCGATACAGGCAAGGCGTGGCCTTGTCTTTGATGAATGGCGTGGGTGAATAAGGGATCGTCACGGGTGGGACCATGCGACGTGGGAGGCCAGCCCGCACCTCGGTTAACAGCTCGGGCGAACAGCGTGGGGACGCCAGCGTCAGCTGTGTCCGTGAATGCCAGTGCGCGGGCTACCGTGACGCTGTGATGGGGATGTGCTGAGCTCCTTGATGGAGTGAGGCGTGGGTTGGCAGGCAGGCGTGGTTCCGAATGAGGCATGCATGCATGACCTGCATGGAGGAGGCCTAAAGGGAGGGGCTGAGTCCACAGTCTGATGGATGAGACGGCATAGCCTGTGATGCGCGCGTGGGCACACGGCAGGACGATAGGCAAGGCACGTATGTCTGTGGGCGCGAAAGGCGGTTGGCGCGGGTGAGAAAGATATTCACATCCCACTCCAAAGGCCTCAGCTGACCCGAGTGCCCGACTCAGGCAACGCTAGTTGTTGGGGGTCATACCTCGGTGAAGCATGAGCCATGGGGCAGACTTTGACCACGGCGAATGAGAGCTCTGGTCGGAAAGAAACTCGGAAGAGAAGACGGCAAAGCCTTACGAGATGTTGTGACTCGAAGGCTTTGATGTGTCATAGGGAGAAGATTGTCCATGAAGTTGGGAAACTCAGGGCGTGAAAATGGATGATGACGGAGTAACAAGAGAAAGAGAAGGATGGTTCGAGTTGTGAAACAGCTCAATAGAAAGGACACTGTATGCTCGTCAACTTGCCACTTGGCTGAAAGAATCATCGTGTTCTCCTTGTCAACCTTTTGATCTCTCAGTTGAGCGTGGTCTTCCGTGGGATATGGTGTCGGAACTGCCGCTGACTGCCGCTGACTTTGTCAAGACCCAGAACTGGCGAGGACGGACGAAGTAGCATTATCCCGCGCGGGGGTGAAATCCTGATGAAAGGGCGAGAAACACCATGGGCAGAGGGAAGGAGGTCAAGACCATGCCTGCGCGATGATTGTTGTCGACGACGTCCAATTTATAGGCCCCCTTGGTGAATGAATCCCCCTCGATAGGACAGCATGGCCTCATTCCGAATACCGGTGGTTATCGCGGTCGAGCCCGAAATGAAGGCAGCCAGAAGCGTCGAGAGCACTGTAGAGCTGCTGACCGCCCCCGAGAGCTGGCTACTCGCCACTGATTTTACTGATGAATGCCCAATCATCGAGCCATCAAGGTTGCCCATCAGGGTTCTCTGAATGGGCGCTTATCTGCCAGCCATCAAGGTTCTCCAGGAATGAAATCACGGGACTTGAGCGTGACGTGAGTCTCTTTCATCACAGCTACATGCCAAAAGTCATTTGGAAGATCTTGCTGGTCATGATGCAAAATGAACGAAACGGTGCAGAAATCTCCTATTCGTTTTGGTTGTTCACTACATTTCAATCGATTAGCCCCTATTTGGTGGTGTACATCCCTCACACCAAGCATGCGGCACAAACCCCACCGTCAGCGCGTAAGTGCATCACTTCGGAATAACGCGAAGGAGAGTACATGTCAAGTTTAAGGAAGAACCCAAGACAAGCTAAAGCTTCGTTTTTACGGAGTAGACAGGCACGATACAATACAACTCATCACAGAAATCTAGCCCGCTAAACCGACTTTACACTTCGCTGTTCAACCACTACAGAGCGAACGGATGCAAACCATCGCAAAGGGCGGGCTTCATCGAATTCCCCCAACACCGCGATCAAAATACGCAGCTTGACCAGCTGGTTACTTGTCAAAAAGGAACGGACTGCAAAGTGGTCCTCGTGCTATCTGTTCAAACATAGTATAGCCGGATTCGAAATCGGTGTCCGGTTCCTACACCCTTCGACTGTTTCTGAAAAAGAAAAGCTGCTGACGCCGACATTACGGGTACACTTGGGCTCGCTGCGGGAAAGGCATTAGGTCTCTGTGGATGTGCACGTAAGGATAGCTTGATGATATTTGATTCTCGAGCCTACCCGATAACCGGAGTGAAGCTATGCTAACCACTTCTCTCCACAGAAATGTCCGTCATGCCAACCTGATGCGCCAGCATAATCGTGGCCAGAGATACAAGCATGGCTAACTACAATAAATTCAAAAATCCGTCACTTGCTTTAGTATGTGTTATAAGCAACGAAGTCAACTGAAATGCGTAGAAGTAGTGGTTATATTTATTCTAATGATTAGGCACCGCTAGTTATTTCAGACGAATATCTATAGCGGGAGATTATATATCGATTTAAGACATAGAATAGGTAAAAGACTTTCACCGCCGAAGATGCTTATTCGGTATCTCTACGTAAGAGGGGGGGGGGGGGGGGGGGTAGAAGCGAGCCGTTTTCGAGAGGATAGGTCAGCTACGCGCTGTTGCAGGATTCTAAAAGCGTCGTGATGACCCCTAATTGAGGCAGCCTGCAGAGCGTTACCGTAATAGCCGCCCTGAGCATGAATATCTGCCCCCTTCTCTAAGAGAAGCTGTATAATCTCGATAGAGCTGTTACGTGAGGCGGCCTGTAGAGCGTTACCGTAAAAGCCACCCTGGATATTAATATCTGCCCCCTTCTCTAAGAGGAGCTATGTAGCCTCGATATGGCCGCGGATTAAGGCGGCCTGTAGAGCGTTACTATAATAGCCTCCCTAGGTATTAATATCTGCCCCTTTCTCTAAGAGGAGCTATATAGCCTCGATATGGCCGTAGACTGAGGCGGCCTATAGAGCGTTACTGTAAAAGCCGCCCTGGGCATTAATATCTGCCCCCTTCTCTAAGAGGAGCTATATA